ACCTCACCTACTTGCTAGGCTTTTTTTTTTTAATATTTGTTTTTGAGAGAGAGAAGAGACCATATGCGAGTGGGGGGAGGGGCAGAGAGAGAGGAAGACACAGAATCTAAAGGAGGCTCCAGGATCTGAGCTGTCAGCCCAGCGCCCGACGCAGGGCTTGAACTCATGAACTGTATGATCATGACCTGAGTTGAAGTCGGATGCTAAACCGAGCCACCCAGGCACCCTTACTTGCTAAACTTTTCAACCCAAAACCAACACCTGCGGCACCCTGTGACCCTCTGATGCTCTGCCTTTGGGTTTCGGCTCTGACTGTAAACCAGTGTCCTTTTCGTCAACTACCAAGAGCCCCCCCCACCTTTTTATTTGCATTTTTGTTTTTGTAGGTGGTCTGCCTGAAACGGATCCCAATTGTCACGCCGAAGCACTGTCTGGTGTTCCTGAGCACAAGAAGGCCGTGATGTGCCGAGATAGCACACAGGTCAGAGGCCCTTCCTTCAGGCACGAGCTATAGCACCGTCGGCCGTGAGTTCAGTGTTACGGCAACGACGCAGGAAAGGTGTCTTTCAACAGAAACACGTGACGCAAGGTTACATATCGGTGGGTCGTGACCAGAGGCTCGCAGGGACCTGTGTGTTCCCCCAGGAGCGGTGCCTCAGTATCCACGAACTCCGTGTTGGCGGCAACTTTACACAACTCTGAATGGTGGTAACGTGTGTCCGAAAAGGCCTGAAGGAAATGAGGGAGCCACGAGAGTTCTAGTTTTGGGAAATAACCAGTAAGAGCACAGCGCAGAGGCAGGAAGAGGGCACGTGAGCAGAGCTGACAAGGAGACCAGGGTGCACGGGGCTAGTGCTGTGTAGACACTGGCTGTGCCCTGCGTGGCTGCTGTAGGTGAGGGCCGACCCCCAACCTCACACCACATACGACACTTAACTCACAGTGGACGACAGACCAACACAAAGAGCTGAAACTGAAACTTCTAGAAAATTAGGAGAAAAACTTAGTGTCTTGGGTTAGAAAATGATTTCTTCAACAAGACACAAAGATGCAAAACGTGAAAGAGAAAAACACGACAGTCAACATCTGCTCAAAAGATACTTCTCAGCGCTCTACCCACGCACACACATGTCCCTCAGCCGCGAGGAGTGAGGCGCCCACACCCGCTGCCCGGCGTAAGGATCTCTGAACACACGACGCTCAGGGAGGGAACCAGACACAAGAGGCCACACAGGGTGTGAGTCCACGTATGTGAAACATCCAGAACAGGTTCTTCCATGGACGGGAAGGGGGCTCGTGGGGGCCGGGGGAGGAGTGGGGACAACTAAGGGACGTGAAGACTCTTTCTGGACGATGGAAATGTTCCAAAACATCTGGTTGGCAGCTATACACCTTGGTGAACAATCACCAAGGTATTCAACTTAAAATGACATCACTGGGATGGTCCTAATCCAACGACCGCTATCCTTATAAGACATGAGGGAGGCACCTGGGTGGTTCAATCAATCAGTTGAGCGTCCAACTCTTGATTTCGGCTGAGGTCATGACCTCATGGTTGTGGGACTGAGCCCCACGCCGGGCTCTGCACTGACAGCATGGAGTCTGCTTGGGATTCTGTCTCTCTCTCTGCCCCACCCCTGCTTGTGCACACACATGCGAACTTTCAACGTGAATAAATATTTAAAAAAGAGAAATAGATAAGGACGCAGACATGCACAGAGAAACGACCCTATGAAGGCAGGGGGAGAACACAGCCGTCTGCACCCCGAGGAGAGTGGCCTCACGAGGAACCGGCCCTTGGACAGCTGATGTCAGACCCCCAGCCCCTGCTGCTGCCCATGAAGCCGGCCGTCTGTAGGGCTCCATGCTGGAAAGTGGCACAACAGGGCATTACTGTGGCCATGGGGACATCAGAGGAAGACTCCACCAGGGAGGAGGCTGCCTCCGGACCCGCTAACCAGCAGCACCGCCTGCCCCCGCGCCCCCTGCACCCACCTGAGAGCAGAGCTGGTGCATCACGTGCCCAAACTCATGGAAGTAGGTCTCCACCTCGTCGTGCTGCAGCAGGGAGGGGGCATCCGGGGTGGGCTTGGTGAAGTTGGCCACCATGGCCGCGATGGCGATCTGGCGGCTCCCGTCCTGCTGCAGGCAGCCCGGCTGCAAGCCAAAGCAGGCCGCGTGCCCGTACTTCCCTTCCCTGGGGAAGGAGGCCGTGTCAGGCCCAGCCAGGGATCTACTCCATCCCCCAGCTGGCCCAGAGAGGCCCATAAGGGTCCCCGAT